CTGCAGAGCATCCAGCTGCAGCCACACTGTTAAATTCATAATTCTCACCTATAAGTGGAAATGCTGCCATACACCTGACACAGGTATACGCTGCTCTGTGCCTGACATAGGACAAGACGGCCACCCTGCAGCACTCTGCCAACCACAAGGATCAGTGATGGCCACAGTCACTCCTCTGTGATCGCACTGACAGATACCTGCCCCGCACCACCCCCAATAGCCAAGCTCAGTCCTGGTGGAATGACCACCGCCTTTATCCGTCTCCTACCTGACCGCCCTGAAAGGACAGGGGAGAATCACAGGAAAAACAGACACACAGCAACAGCAGACACATTCCCACGCGGTCCCTGGCCCTCGGGACATTCCCACGGGGTCCCTGGCCCTCGGGACATTCCCACGGGGTCCCTGGCCCTCGGGACATTCCCACGGGGTCCCTGGCCCTCGGGACATTCCCACGGGGTCCCTGGCCCTCGGGACATTCCCACGGGGTCCCTGGCCCTCAGGACATTCCCACGGGGTCCCTGGCCCTCAGGACACTGGAGAGGCTCAGGCCTGCATGCAACAGGGAGGGATGAAGGCTGCTGAGTCGCAGACTGACTAGGGGAGAGCTACTGAAGCAGGTGTTCAAGGCAGCTAGCTGCACCTCCAGGTTCAACAGCAGACCCGGTTCCTTTTGGAATCACAGAGGCAGAAGACTTGTAGCCAGCAGAGATCAAAGCCTGAGCCTGGCACTGTGAGCCTGGGGCTGGCACTGTGACACAGTGGGTCAAGCCTCAGCTTACTACACCAAGCATCCCGTACTGGAACAGCAGCTCCAGGCCCAGCTGTTCTGCATCTGATTCAGCTGCCTGCAGACACTGCACCTGGCAGTGGCACCTGTCGCCCACATGGAGACGAGGAAGGAATTTCTGGCTTCTTGGCCCGATCCAGTCCTGGCTACTGCAGCCATTTGGCAAGTGAACCAGTAGCTAAACTCTATCTTTTAATCATTCCACCTTTTAAACGAATAAATTTAGAAAAAATTAAAGTCTTGAAAAGTTAACAAATTTCCCCCTACTCAGTCCTTCTAATGCAAATAAATAAAAAGAAAAATAAGAAAATCTGAGGTTAAATTCTAGAAGATTCATCTCTAACAGAAGTCTTAGAAAGAAAAAAAAAAAATAGAAAAATGCAGAGTAAACATTTCCAAAGCAGCAGCACGTTTCTGACCGCTCAATGGCGACTCTGATTAAAAGGCCGCTAAGATCAACTAAAACTCCAACAAACCAGCAGAACATTACAGAACTGGAGATGTCAAACAGAAAGACCAAGATTCAAAGCACAAGTGGAAAAAAGGAATCAGTATAAAGTTGCACTTATCACAAACCTGTGACACAACAATGTGAAAATGCCACTGACACAATAAATAAAAATTCTTTTAAATTAAATATTCTAAATCAGCCACATCATCATCTACAAAGCACGAGGATGGGACAGACATCTTGACAATGGTTCATTCCCAAGCACTCCTCCTAACAGAGCTACTGGGGAGGTGCGAGTGAACTAGACCAAGGAAAAACAGAGCCACAGGTCAGGACAAAGGGATGGAGTCCCAGGAACACAACCCTGCTGTCCAGACCGCAGGCCAGAGGAGGGAGCACCGCAGGGGGACGCGGGTCCAGAAGGCAGGCGGTGGCACTGATAGGTGACGAACCTGAGCCACTACCTGGGAAAAACTTCAAAAGGCACAGAACCCATTGTTTTCAAGTTGAGGAAACATGGCCATAGACACACAGGAGATTCATCAGAAAGTTTAAAACACTTCTTCTAGAAAATACAAGCATATAAGAAGCAGACTGAGTCCCGACGCAATAACGTAGCAGTTAAAGTCCTCGCCTGGAATGCACCGGGATCCCATATGGTCGCCGGTTCTAATCCCAGCAGCCCTGCTTCCTGTCCAGTTCCTTGCTTGTGACCTGGGAAAGCAACTGAGGACAGCCCAAAGCTTTGTGAATCTGCACCCGTGTGTGGGAGACCCGGAAGAAGCTCCTGGTTCCTGGCTTCGGGTTGGCTCAGCAACAGCCATTGTGGTCACTTGGGGAGTGAAACATCGGATGGAAGAGCTTCCTCTCTGTCTCTCCTCCTCTCTATATCTGCCTTTCCAATAAAAATCGATAAATCAAAAAAAAAAAAAAAAAAAAAAAAACAAGAATAAGAAGCAGACTGGGTCCTGCCTAATGCCTCAAATGGCTCACCCTCCACGTACAGGCGCCAGGATCCCACATGGTGCTGGTTTGTGTCCCGGCTGCCCCTCTTCCCATCCAGCTCCCCGTGGTCCTTTCCAGGCCTGTGGTCTGGAAAGCAGCAGGGGACGGCCCAAGTCCTCAGGACGCTGAGGTTCCTGACCCCTGGCTTCCATCACCCCAGCTCCAGCCGTTGCAGCCATTTTGGGAGTGAACCAGTGGATGGAAGACCTTTCTCTTAGCCTCTCCTTTTCTCTGCAAACTTGCCTTTTCAATAAGAATAAATGAATCTGCAAGAAAAAGGAAAAAAAAAAGAAGGCCACTAACTCAGAGGGGAACAAGACACGTACATACATTTAATGTAATACTGACTGCTGGTCTTACTCAAGAGATTGTATTTATCTACTTATTTGAAAGGCAGAGTGACTTAGAGGAGAGGTGGGGGCGGGGGGAGACTTTCCAAGCAGTGGTTCCAAGTGCCCCCAACACCAGGGTGGGCCAAGCTGAAGCCAGGGGCCAGGAAACCCACCCGGGACTGGCACATGGGTGGCAGGAGCCCAAGGCCTGGGCCAGTGGCTGCCACCTTCAGGGGACACTACAACAGGAAAGCACACCACACAGCAGTGTGTGTGCCAAGCTCCACTGCCCCACAACACCAGCCCAGCCACTGGCTTCATTAAAACCAACAACAATCTTAATAGAGTCTAAAGGAAATACGGGTAAGCACCCATGACAAGAGGTCAAATGCTTATCCCACACTGATTTAGAAACATACGTGTGAAACCCGGAGCAAGAGCACAGAAAACCCAGGGGGCAGCAGCCACCCAGCCCCGGAGCCGACAGCGGGGACAGCTCTTGCTCTAGGTCTTTCAGCTCTTTTCCACTGTTGAAAAAACATGCATGCATTAATTGGACTAATACAGTTTACTCTCACATAAAATGCAGCTGGCTCATTTTATCTAGCATATAACTTATCACTATGAATTTCAGTTGTAAGCTTCTCACACCCTAAAATGACAGTATTAGCAATATTACAAAATGATGCTCAGTGTCCCAGAAGACACTTAACCCATCATCATTCAAAACTAGTACAAAAATACTATTTCAAGTGGGCTGAAAACGCCAACACAGCTTCCCCAGGGAGCTGCAACCTGCCAACTAACGTCCCGGGTATGCTGCCCACGCAGGGGCAGACAGGAGTATTCAACATAAAATGTACACGGGAGAAGGGAAGACCTGCCTGGGGCCTGACAGCCTAGAGCTAAAGGCATGGCAGAGGACACGCTGGAGGCCCCTTGGCCAGGGCCGGGCAGGGGGGGAGCGTCCTGCCTGCCCGCCACGCTCCCGCCCCTTTTCCACTCAGTCCATTTCTGGGCATAAGCTGGGTGCTCATCCACCAGAGGCTTCCTCTGCGAAAAATGGTTTCTACCCTGGAGCAAAGGAACAAACACATCATCTCAACACTAATGAGCAATGATTTCCACATAAAATGTTGCAGCCAATGTCTCCATTTCACTTTTAAAAATCAGGAACGCTGTTACCTTGAGCAAGCTGCTTAAAGCTCTCATCTCCAAAATCGGAATAAAGAGCTCTCTGGGACATAACACAGCCAAGGCACTGCAGGGTCAGGCGGCCACAGGCACTCCATCAGCCTCCGACGCCTGGCAGTCCTGTGTTCCTGCCCTCCAGCCCCGACGCCTGGCAGTCCCGTGTTCCTGCCCTCCAGCCCCGACCGGGAAGGCAGAAGGAACGCAGGTAAACAAAGAAAGAACTTGAGGTTGCCTGTCACAGCCCTACTGTCCAACGTCAGGTGAGTTGCCAACATTCTCTATTTCCCCCAAGCCTCCGATCCAAGCACTAAGCCAACTCACAAGTTTAATTGGACTCAGACGACTTTCAGCTAATTCAGCTGGACTAGAGAGAGGATTACGAAAGTCCCGACTCCCTCCTACAGACGCAAACGCGTAGCGACCACTCGGCAGCCCGCGACACGAGTGGATCTCAACCGACCTCAAGAAAACCTTGCTAGCTTTAAAAAGATATAAATAAAAACTGACAGACAATGGCTGGTTAAGAGAATAACTTTGTTTCTCCTCTCCCTTCCACCATTTAGAGGCACCACACCGCGAGACCACACTGAAGGGCTGCGGTCACACACACACACACAGAGCAAAATGTCCAGAAATCGACAAAGTTCTGCTGAAGGTAAACACGACCTCGAGCTAACCCAAAGCCGAGTTCTCCATCCTCACACACACGCGAGACGAGCAACAAAAACCCGGGCTCACAGGTCCAATACCTGGCGGTCCGGTCACTATTTTTAAGCGCGCGCACGGGTCCCAAGACCTGGACGTGGGTCACCAACACCCAGTCCTTCCACCCTCTCCCTGGCTCTCCTGTTGTGCCCGAGCGCAGCAGCGTGGCCTAACGGGCACCCACACAAGTCTCCTCTGAACCGGCGAAGTCGAGGCGGCCACCGTGCAGGGTGCCCCCGTGGCACAGGGAGGGTCCCAGGCACCGGGCGCACGGCTGCAAGGCTGCCGCAAGCGGGGCAAGCCTGTGCAAAGGAGGGGGCATCACGGCGGCTGGCACCCGGCGGACGCGGGGCTGGCACGGAGGCCGCGGCTGCTCCCCCATCCCCCGCCGCACGCCCCACGGCGGCAGCGGAGCCGGGCCCGGGGCGGGGGACCGGCCAGCCGGCCAGGGCGCAGGCCCCGGGGACGCACCCCGGCCCGGGCTCCACGCCGCGGCCGGCCGGAAGCAGCCCGGGCCACTCACCGATGAGCCGGCGCACCTCGTCCTCGCTCAGGTAGAGGCTCACGCTGGGCCCCGCGGCCGCCGGCGGCAGGGCAGGGGGCCACGGGGCCGGGGCGGCGGCGGCGCCGGGCGCGGGCAGCAGCAGCAGCTGCAGCAGGGCCAGCAGGAGCCACGGCGGCGGCGACCTCAGGCCGCGGGCTCCGGGGACGCGGCCCCGGCCTGGCCGCCCCGGCCGCGCCGCCCCGCGCATGGCCCGCGCCGCCGCGCCGCCGCCCACCACCCCCGGCCCCGAGCCCCTCACAGCCCCGAGCCGGGGGCGGCCGCCCTGCTCATCGCGCCGCCGGCCCGTGGCAGCCAGCCGCCGCTTCAGACCGCCAGAGCGCGCTGCCGCCGCCGCCGCCTCCTCGGCGACATCGTCCCGGGAGAGCGACGCGAGCCGGCGGGGGAGGAGGGCCTGCTCGCGGGGGCGAGCCCGTGCGCGCCACCGCCGCGCCGGGGCCGCGCACGCACGCCGGGCCGGGTCGCTCGCCGCCGGGCGCCTGCGTCCTCGAGCGCCTCGGCCGGGCCCAGGGTGGCCGGGCCCAGGGTGGCCGAGCGCCCCTCTTCAGGACACCCCTTCTCAGGGCTCGGGGGTCCAGGGCGGCCGGGCACTCCTCTCAGGGCCTCGGGGGTCCAGGGCGGCCGGGCGCCCCTCCTCAGGGCCTCGGGGGTCCAGGGCGGCCGGGCGCCCCTCCTCAGGGCCTCGGGGGTCCAGGGCGGCCGGGCACCCCTCCTCAGGACACCCCTTCTCAGGGCCTCGGGGGTCCAGGGCGGCCGGGCGCCCCTCTCAGGGCCTCGGGGGTCCAAGGCAGTCGGGCACCTCTTCCTCGCAGGGCCCAGGGCGGCGGGGCGCCCATCTCAGGACGCCCCTCCTCAGACCTCGAGGTGCCCCCGTGTGTGCGCCGGCCGCCTCTCCGACAGGGAGCCCCCAACGCGAGAAGGCCCGTGGCCCAGCTGCAAGCCAGCGGGCGCCGGACGTCCGTGGAAAGGGCCTTTTGGGTTGCCAGGAGAAAAAAGAACGGGCTTTTTTTTTTTATTGAGTGAGAAAACTCAGATTTATATTGAAATCACCTTTTAGCTCTTCATCAAAGTCAGCTGCAGCGTTGCTGCGCGTCTTCTCCTGGCTTGATACTTCACACGTTTAGTTCGTTAAGATCTTTCTGGAAAACAGAGTAGAATCATACCTATTACACGCTACAACTTTTTTTTTTTGAAAGTCACATACATAGAGAGGAGGAGAGACAGAGAGGAAGACACCCTGTCCACCGATTCACTCCCCAAGCAACCACAACGGCCAGAGCTGCGCCAATCCGGAGCCAGGAGCCAGGAGCCAGGAGCCTCTCCCAGGTCTCCCACGCAGGTGCAGGGTCCCAAGGCTTTGGTTTGTCCTCGACTGCTTTCCCAGGCCACAAGCAGGGAATTAGATAGGAAGCCAGCCCGTGCGTGCAAGGCAAGGGCTTTAACCACTAGGCTACCACACTGAACCCTATTTATTTATTTATTTTTTAATGATTGATCTGCGTGGCTGTAATCACACATATGGAAATGTTGATCTGAGGAGTGCCCAAGGGTGCGTGTGCGCGCGCCTGAGTACACAGGGAGTACAGATGTCCCATCATCTGTTCCAGGGAGTCCCTGTCCCCCAATTCCTCCCCAGCCCCAGGCAGTTGAGAATCCCCACGGCGAGGCAGTGAGCCACGCACCACGGAGGTTGCACTCCCTCCGGGCCTTGGTGAGGCCCCTGGCGTAATCCCTGGTCCAGCAGTCACCTCCTCTCTGCGAGCTTTCCCTGAGCCCAGCCTCCCTCTGAGGGAGCAGCTGCGCCCCAGCCCAGCCCGGCCCAGCTTCAGCCTGCAGTTGCTTCACCTGCGGTGCGGCCTCAGCAAGGCCGGGCAGCTGTTTTTGTCCCCTGGAAGATGAGGAAGAAGAGGAGTTGCTGAGGAGAAATGTCTGGCAGCTTGGCATCAGAGATGGAGCCCCTTTAGAGTAGTCTGACTGGATTGTTGGGCCGCAGCCGCCCAGCACTGGATCCATGTCCTGCAGGAGGCTGGCGAGAGGGTGAGGACCTTGTGAGCCACGAAAGACAGCGGAAGTGCTCGGCTGGGGCAGCCACTGTGACGTAGTTAGGTACCCCAGCCAGGGAGGACTTGAAGCGACACTCTCAATTCAGATAGGAGATATTACAACAACAAAAAAAGTTGGCATTGGGCCCAGCGCAGTATCCTAGCAGCTAAAGTCCTCAGCTTGTACTCACCGGGATCCCAAATAGCCACTGATTCCCATCCAGCTCCCTGCTCGTGGCCTGGGAAAGCAGTCGAGGACAAACCAAAGCCTTGGACCCTGCACTAGTGTGGGAGACACAGAAGAAGCTCCTGGCTCCTGGCTTCGGATCATCTCAGTTCTAGCCATTGCAGCCATTTGGGGAGTGAATCAGCAGATGGCAGTTCTTTCTCTCTGTCTCTCCTCCTCTCTGTATATCTGACTTTCCTATAAAATAAATAAATCTTTTTTAAAAAGTTGGTATTTTCCCTGCATTTTGTCAAAGGCTCCTGGTGCCTCAATAAGGACGTTCCTAACTTGGAGAGGTTTTTCAGCCTTTCAGATCTGCTTCTGTCCGTGACTTCTTGAGGCCGTGTGTGTAACCCAGAGCTGTCCTCGCCTGGCTGGCTTCTGGCCCTTGTTAATTGTATGATGTTGGGGAAATGAGTTAAACTCTCCAGTCGTTGGTTTCCTCATTCCCAGAGCACAGACGATCATGCCTGACTCACAGTGCCTGCACAGGTGTAACTACAACACCCCAGGGCGACACTGGCTGGCTGTCACACCCGTTAATTATTATTGTTACAAAGAATCCCTTCCCTCTAATGACCACTTCCTGTGGTTATTCATTACACATCTCTTAGGATAACTTACATTGTTGGAGAAGCTGAGACAATCGTCTTCAGCTTAACGGGTGGACTTGAGGATGAAGACCATTTGTTCCTCTTGGAGATACGATTGACTGGATTGCCGTATGGACTTGTGATTTGCTGTTTCCAGGGGACCCTGTGATCACCAAGCTTGGTTAATAAACCTTAGACATGTAGATCCTCCCAATCCAGCTCCCTGCTAGTAGAACTGGTAAAGCAGAGAAAAAATGAAGCAAGTGCCTGGATCTCTGCTGTCTGTGTAGGAGACTGGGAAGATGCTCCCAGCTTCCATCTGCTCCAGCCCTGGCTACCATAGCCACTGCCAAGTGAAACAGGAAAAATCCCTCTCTCTCTTTCTCTCTCTCTCTCTCCCTCTTTCTTCCTCTCTCTTTCTATCTCACCTTCTGCCCTTTAAATAAATAAGTACATCTTTTTAAATAGAGGGAGAAAAGAGACAAAATTCATTTTCTAGTACTTTTTTAATGATGATATTTACATAAGCATGCACCGCCCTTGTGGACCACCGACAAAGGGGAGGGGGTGGGGGGAGGGGGGAGTGAATGACACAATTGAAGTTTTTCTAATACTTTTCTATTTTTCTTTTAACAAAACTAGCTCCTGAATCCATCTGGAATCAGTTTGTATATGGCACACAGCACAATTTCATGTTTTTCTGTATTGGGGCATATGTCCCAAACACTATTTGTTATATGTATTGAAGATTCCTTGCTTAGTAGCTGCATCTAACGTGAAACAGACTAAGATCTCAGCCTGCTTTCACATCCCTCCTCCTGTGTACCCGTCCGTGTTGATCTCTGCTGGCCGGCGTGGCAGACACTCGCCACGTGAGACTGTCGTGTAACTAAAATATGGTTAGTAGGAATTAAGATATGCAATAAGTACAAGATACACACCAGCTTCTGAAGAATGGAAAATATCACGATCACCATTTTAAGACCGTTTTATGTTACAGTTTTTTAAATTACTGTTTTCATGCTCGTAGTATCCCCAGTTTAGCCGGGGACTGGGGGAGGGGGCTTCTTCAGTGTGGCCCTGCGCCCTTTTGACATTCCTTTATAACATTCATTGAGCATTGTCTTGCCTTTTGGAACACCAAAATATTCTTTCCAGTTTCCGACACCACCTGGAGCCAGTCCTTTCCCCGCAGGAGCCACAGTTCCTGCTCGTGGACACCATCCGGAGCCAGTCCTTTCCCCGCGGGAGCCACAGTTCCTGCTCGTGGAGAGTGGTAGTTAGAGACCACAGTTGGGAGTCTGGGCTGCTCGTTGCTGCTCGGACAGAACTACTTCTAGGCCCATAGGGAGACACGAAGAAGACACATGGGTTTATTTATGTTTGCCTGTACTTGTGTACACACACGCGCATCTGTAAAATCCATGAGCTCTCTCTGGAACTTCTGAGCCCCGTCTGCCACCTTTCCTTCCTCGTGCCCCATCTGCAGCTCCTTTCCCAGACAACAGGACGCAGAGCTGCCCGTCCCTTCAGTATGTCTGTTTGCTCATCCGAAGTGTCCATAGATAAGAACACTCCTGGAGCTGCCTACAAAGCTCATCAGTCTGTCCCGCCCCAGGTCAAGCAGCCGTAAAAGGCAAGGCCCTCTGGGTGCCCTGGCAACATCTGTCACTAACTCCGTGCTCCACAGCTGTCCATTCGATTCCCGGTATCTGCTTCAAGGATAACTTTGCTGTGAATTTTAATTTGCAAATCTTTATATTTATTTGAGAGGCAAGCAGACATTCCTCCAGATGCTTGCAATAAACAGCCAGGGGCTCAGCTCACTGTCGGGGTGTCCCGTGTGGGCGGAAGGAGCCATCACCTGCTACCTGCCAGGTGGTGATGAGCAGGAAGCTGGAATCAGGGGCAGAGCTGGGACTCAGACCCAGTCACCGATCCAACTGACAATTTCCTACATCGAAGGCCTGCCCCGTTTTCATTTTTAAATCCCCCGCCCTTTTTTTTTCTTTCTTTATGGCAGCTAGCTATTTCTTGAAATAAAAGTAACATTGTTTAAGATTTTATTGAGCATTTAGTATGAGTTCATTATGAATTAACTATTTTCATATGACTAATTTTCAAAATAACCTGCGTACAGGTGAGCTGTCAGATGACTCTCCCAAGTGCTGGTCACACATCTAGAAAGTGTAGAGCTAGCGGTCGGTGTCAGACAGCTTGGGTCCTGAGGCCATTTTCTCAACCATTTAGATGCGCTGAAATGCTTCCCTTTGCTCTCCGCTAACTCTGTCGGAGTTCCCTCTGCTTGCTGAACCTGCTGCTCTCTCGGAGCGGAGCTTACGGCTCCTTGCTGCACGTGTGACCCCGCACGAGTCTGAGGATGCCCTTTTGGCGCTGGGCGAGTACCTTTGGCAGAGTGGTGGCCCCTCTTCCTCCTTGGCCTTAGTGATGGTCTCTGGGATGGCCCAGAGGGAATTCCTGCTGAGCACAAAGGGAGC